TTTCTTCTTGAGGTCATACACATTTTAAATAGGTTCAAGGTTATGTTTAGTAACACATGGAATCTGTCTATAGTACCTGTGTATTGCATAGTACTTTGTTCAATTTTTAGAAAAACAAGTTGAGCTACCCAAATTTGTAGCCAGTAAAACTTCTCCATGTATATTACTTTTAAGCTGCCTTCCCAATATTCTTTGAAGGACAGCTCTAGCAGAGAGAACATAGTAAGAATACATTATGATTTAATGTAATTACCAGGCTTAACATTGCTTAGTTAACAATTCAACTCAATCAAACAATATCTTAGAGCTGGAGGTTGACCCTGAGGGTCATTTACTCTATTCTCCTTTGAAATAGACTGTAGTGTACAGTTGCTGACAAATATCTGTGTATACTGTTTAATTATCTCTCTGTACTACAAGAGAACCACAGTTCTGCCATAGCCCTCACCAGCTGTCCCAAAGCAAATTACCTCAGTATTTTACTCCTTCTATTTTGCATTTATAAAACAGGAATAATTTCAGAACCTATTTCAGAATGCTTTCACTTGAGTCACTTATCAGCAGTGTCTGACATGTACCAAGTGTTCTCAGCATAAGATTTCTATTTTTCATGTATCATTTCACTTATCCAGACAATCTGTAACCAATGACTAGATGTATATCTAAGTTGCCATCACTTTTAAATTAATGATTGTGACCACATCATTAATATCAACACAAGCATAGCATTTGGACCTATTGTTGATTTCTAAGTACAAGTTTTATTGTAGGTACTATAGGAAAGGAAGATAACTTTCTTTTTTTTTTTTAAGTTAACAACAATTTTTTTAATGAAAGAAAGTACAGAAATTTGGTAATACAACACAAGGCAAAAGTCACTGAGTAGAAGATTTCTTGTAAAACTTCTGATTTGGAAGAAATAACTGAGAAAAAAAATCACTGTAAGAGGCTTCTTTCCACCAGATTTGTCAGGGTTGAGACCATCTCTGCCTGTGCAATTTCCAAAGCAAACTTATACAAGGACATTTACTTGAAAAGTGATTTGAATAAAGATAAAGAGATAAGAAATTATTCAGAGAAAGAGAGAGGAGTTAGATTTTGTATTTGGGTATTAATAAAAGTAATTGTCCATCTTACATGATCTTACGGGGTTTAGAGAGTTCATCTCTGAATTTACCACCAAGGAGAAGAAGATAGAAGAGTTCTTTCCACAGGGAATCATTTCCAAGTGGTCAAAGGTGGATCTGTTTGTGATCATTTCTTTGTAGTCCCAATTCGGTCTCATATATTTGGACTGAGCATTCTCTGAGAATGTCAAGTCTGAGACTCACAAACAGCAGATAGTTGGTGCTGGAAAGGCCCTAGATGGTACTTGAAGCAAAGTGCTCAAATCCCACTTGGCTTAGCTAGTTTTAGCCAAAGAGAAGTGTGGTGCAGGCTTCCAGAGTGGAGCATCGAATGTCAAATGGAAACTCAGCTGAATGGAGAGAAGAGGCTTCTGGGCAAGGAATAAAAAGGAAGAAAAGATGGGTTTTCAAAAAACCGTGTTTCAAAAATGACTGCTTTGTGCAGACTGGTGATACAAAACTGACTAGGAATGGCTCAGAAATCTTCTGAGTTTCTAAGAGAAACTATACTATTTTTACCAATAAAATATCAGAAATCTTTGATAAAAAGAAAAATCAGTTTGAGAGTTTGAACATGGAAGTGACCATTAGACTACCTAAAGTCCACAATGGAATAATTGGGTAGATAAGAGATAAGTAAATGTTGAAGGTTCTCATGTCAATGAGGAAATTATATAGCTAAGTGTGATTGAAAAAATTGGAATTTCATTCACTCACTTATTCATTTTTGTTGTTGTTCCAAGAGCCCCACTGCCAGGAACAAGCAGGCAGCATGGGTGCCCTTGTTTCTTTCTGTTCTTGACTGTGGTGTGGACAGGTGTCTCATGCTCTTGCCTCTGTGTCTTTCTTGGAATGAATCGTCAGGCAAATAAACTCTTCCTGATGTTGTATTGGGTGAGGGGATTTCCTCACAGTAATGGAAATGAAACTAGAACACTCATTCCCACCTCTGAGACAAGTGTCAAAACAGATGAGAACTGCAGTAGATTTCACAGTGGGATGAGTCAGATAGCAATTACCACACCTCATTCAGCAGTAATATAAGGAGCCTTCTTGGTGCAGGAGAGATACTGTGTATATATTGCTTTTTTCTGTCTCTTCATGCTCCCCATCCATCCTGGAGCAAGGAGCACCAGCTCTGCCTTCCCAGATCATCCTCTGGCAATGCCAGAATCAGATCCTGGAGAACCTGAGCACTCTGTAAGGCTCACAAGTCTCTGAGGAAGATAACTTTCAAATAATAAAAATTCTGCCAAATTAATAATAAGTGTTTATTTCAAAAGTAAAATACAGCAATTAATGTTTGTGAATAGCTCTTAATTTTGCATAAATGACATTAGGAAACAAATGACACCATTAGAATTGTTAATGGATATCTACTAGAGAAGAAAACAGGTGGAGAGATGGTTCAGTGGTTAAGAGCACTGGCTACTCTTGCCCAGGACTAGGGTTCAATTCTCAGCACCCACATGGTGGCTCACAACCAACTATAACTCCAGTTCCAGGGAATCTGATGCCCTTTTTTGACCTTCAATGGCAGCAGGCTCACATGTGCTATACATAAATACGTGAGGCAAGCCATTTATCTATATAAAAAATAGGTCTAAGATGACCTGGAACCCCTGCACAGGTGTAGCCCATGGCAGTTCAGTGTCCAAGTGGGTTACATAGTAATGGGAAGAGGGACTGCCTCTGACATAATCTGATTGGCCTGCTCGTTGATCACTTCCCCCCTGAGGGGGGAGCAGCCTTACCAGGCCACAGTAGAGGACAATGCAGCCACTTTTGATGAGAACTGATAGACTAAGATCAGAAAGGAAAGGAGAGGAGGACCTCCCCTATCAGTGGACTTGGGGAGTGGCATGCATGCAGAAAGGGGAGGGAGGGTGGGATCGGGAGGGGAGAAGGGAGGGGCTTATGGGGGGATACAAAATGAATAAAGTGTAATTAATAAAAAATTTTTTAAAAAAGACCTTTTTAAAGACAAAAAGAAGGAAAGCCTAATTTGATAATAAAATTGCCATTAGTAGTACTTTCATCAAAAGAACAGTCTTCACCTTCAGTTGAAAGCAAATGTTATGTTTTTAAAATGTGAAATGTGAAATACCCAATTTGACATCTGACACTTTTAAGAGATTAATTGACAATATGAAACTCAAAATTGAATACGTCAGTTTTAATCAGGAAGTTATGATAATATATTTACTGTAAATTTTCAGATTTATTCTTATATTTTGTATTGGTGATTTTGTACTTGAAACTCACCGTGGTCTGAAAATTGCTCTGCTTTTCATCAAGTGTCACTTTAGTTTACCTCTTACTTCTCATGGCCAATATGACAATGCCATTGAAGGACACCCTAACCTCTTTTCAATGTGTTTTAACCAAATGTATTAGAAACTAAGACAGAGGAAACCAGAAGCTATGGAGATAAAGTAGACCAAATTAGCCTTGAACTTGTGGGAACACATCAAGAGTTGTAGGGTTACAGGTACAGACCAACACGTGTAACTCACTTATCACTGCTGCCTTTTTTTTTTGAGCACTGTCTTTGTCATCTTTTCTCCTGCCCATCAAAAGTAGCCTCAAAATACTTAAAATAGATTTATCATGTTTCCTACAGTCTTACTACCAAGTGAGAGCCAAAAGAAATGAAGGTACTGTATTAAGGCATCTGCCAGGTGAAAGCCCAACTGCTCACCAACTCATGAGTTGATAAAAAACATAGCACAAACACAGCACGTCATTCAGGCATATTGAAAATGAAAGTCTGTTGCTTGCTGTTGCATGAAAAGACCTGAATAGTGCTGTGATATATGAGTTAAACAGACACAGAAGAGCATGATCTCACCATGCAGAACATAAAAATTTTTACCTCATCGAAGTTGAAAGTAGACTGGAGCACAGGAATTAGAAAAAGAAAAGCAGTCAAATATGTTTGCCATGAATAAGTAATAAGTAAGTTACAGGTGTTGGCCTATGCCTGTAACCCTACAACTCAGGCTGTGCTCCCACAAGTTCAAGGCTAATTTGGTCCACCTAGTGTGTTCCAGGTCCCGGAACCAAAAAATAAAAATAGAGAAATGTTTGAGGAGTAGATATGTGTAGCTTCATCTGAGATTTATATAATACGTGACTATACCAAAATATCTCAAACTACCCCAGAAATGCATTTATAATTTTGCTTTATATCTCAGGAAGAAAATAAATATAAAAGGAAATGGGTACAACATATGAGACAAAAAGAGATAAAGTTCTTCCATGACCTCTAATCATTTGCCTTCACAGTCTTTTAACCAGGAACTTTCTCTGCATTAAGTATTACAGACACATGTCAGTGACTAGACCACTGTCATTTTTACGAAATCTGTTGTCGAAACAAGATGAACATTAAAAAAATTCTAATGGAATGAAATTAAAATTCAACTGTGCTGTATATTTTTAAAGTAAACCTTGTCATCAGTTAAAAGAAAGAATTTTAGCAGTGTTTTCCTTCCTTTACTATTTTCTGAAGAGGTCATGCTAATCACCTGTCATGATTGCCACAAATAATAATGACCACAGACCTCCCTGGAAGCAGAGTCAGATTCTTCACCTATGTTCTGACAATAGTTAGAAAACATTTAAATGTGAATTTCTGAAATTTAGACTTATAGCATTTGTCCATGACATTAAGGATTGGTAACACATTCAGCGACATGGTTAGCTTATACTTAATTATTCTTTATGGCTGGGGCACAATTCTAAACAAGTATTTTATATGTTACATCTGACCCAAATGAAGGCCCTCAAGAGTCTGTCTTCATGGCAAAATATTTCTGAACACCAAGCAAGTGAACTTACATCGTGACACTCGCTATTTGTTTGTGATAGGAATATGATGAAGAATGGGCAAAGAAAATTCAGAGTGAGAAGTTTCGCTGGCATAACTCTCAGTGGTTGGAGATGGTAGAGAGTCGTCAAATGGATGAGAGCGAGCAGTACTTGTATGGTGATGATCGGATTGAGCCATACATCCATGAAGGGGACATTCTTGAACGACCTGACCTTTTCTATAGCCCAGGTAAGGCGATATCCAAAGCAAAAACACATGCTTCCTGTGTGTGTTACAAAAAGGGATTTTGTGTGCCAGGCATGCATACTCCCAAACTCCATAAGCACACTTTTAATATCTAAGTGGTCTTCTGTTAATAATTTCAGGTGATGGCGTCTATATACACCAACAAAAACTAGTAACATTGTTTTTTTTCAAGTTAGTGTTTGGTGTGATCTCCACTTAAAGTGTGTAGCCAGGACAGTTAACAGCTACTGCTAGCTTCCTGCTTTCTAGAATGTGTAAGTTAAACAACTTCCGGATTTCTGAATTCTAGTCAATAGTGTGACACTTGTTCTGTATTCTGCATCTGTTAGATGTAACTTTCTAATTTTATTTTATTTTATTTTATTTTATTTTATTTTATTTTATTTTAT